TCTGCTCCCTTTTGGTTCACACCCACCGACTGACCACGGAGTCAGAAAGGCTTAGCAGATCCCCTCCGTAAACTAGATGCCAGCCCCCCCCCCGGAAACACCCCCAAGAACGCTCTGCAAGGCGCAAGGGAAGGCGAGTTTCCAGGACGGTGGGATGCCGGCTGGATCCGGGCTCTTCCCCTCTCCCGTTCAACAGGGCCGTTTCTTCCACAAGAAGCCTTAGCCGTCCTGTCAACCTGACACACTCATTCTTGGGAGGGCCGGTTCGGTTTAGCTACTAGCTGCTCTCTTTCCATCACCTCCAAGTTTTCGCCTGCCTTTTCCTCTTACTTTGTCTCTCATCCTTGGTATTTAAAAAAGTGTACTACTTTTGGTGCCATCTAGTGACTTTTCAAGGTTTCCATAAGAGAGAGAGAAAAAATTCTGTCACTAAGATCTGCTGCCATGTAACTCAAGAGCCAATTTCAGAGGCGAATATTTCCGCAATGTGTTTTTCGACAGCAGCTTCAGGGCCGGTCAGGAAACGGAACCTCTTTGCCCACTTTTGCCAGTGGGACTCTGGTCAATTTTCCTCTGCCTTCCAGAGGTTTTACTAGCAAAAAGGGGCTTTTCTCGGACACAAAACAACAGACTTTTCCCCCCTTTGTGTAATTAGACTACAGACTACTACAGCCACCGCCAAGTGAGAGTTTCGGCTTAAAGCCAGACTTGTACTTCATTTTCTGTTGTAACAGATGTCAGAAAAGCCGGCTAAGAGTTCATTTTAGACAGCAAATATTCAATGACGATATCTCTTTAGTAGTAGAAATTACAGGAACTAATAGCGTATGAATTACACATAGGAGCTCCTAGGGGAGAAAAAAAAAGAATTGTGATTTTTTTCATCACCAGTGTGATCCTCAGCTGGCTGGATAGCCCAGTGGGTTAGGTCTCTGGCCGCAGAGCCAGAAGCTGGGAGTTCGATTCCCCCACTGTGCCTCCTGGGAGAAGTGCCAGCCTGGGTGGCCTTGGGCCAGCTGCAGAGTCCCAGGACATCCCCCTAGAGGAAAGGAATGGTAATACACCCCTGAGTACTTTCTACATATAAAACGCTGAAAAGAGTTGTCTGGAGTCAGAACTGACTTGATGCCACACAATTATTGTTATTATGAATGATGGTTCTGTCCATAATGTCTGTTTGGCCCTATCTCTTGGGCTTAACCCTTGTCACAGAAGTGATAGGGTAAGTTCAAAAGAGAACTGTGTTCTCTGCCTTGATTTTCTTTGGAGGAAAATAGGATGTAAATACACATTTTTGTCTGATTTTTTTTAATCATATTAAGCAACTGCAAAAATCCCCCTTATTGCACCACTGTTAGTAATGGTGACTCTCAAGCGAGGCATTTCCTGGTGTGGCCTGATCTTTGGAGAGGGCTGCCAGCCCCACCATGTCTTCTAGTTACGGCTTTGCTGCCAGGATATGTTCCCCTTTTCCTGGCTTTTCTGCCTCAGTATCACTTTCACTGCACAGGCCAGTGGAGGAAACCACAGGAACAGGCTACAAAATTTCATCGGTTCCAGGTTAGCTTCAATGTTCTTGCTTCCACCAAAGAATCTTAGGAATGGCAGCTCAGTGAGTCTGCTGAAAATCCTCTGTGGTATCACCTTCCCCAAACCAGACTGTTCAAGCTAGGGAAGCTGTGATTTTAGTTTTCTAGCTAGGTAACAAATTCGGGTATTAGACTCAGAGTTGGTTGCCAGCTGCTTCTTCTGAGGGTGGGAGGAGACCATCACTTTCTCTTTAGAATTAACCATGGCTCCTTGTGATGCTTGAGCTCAGTGAAGTGTGGCTTGCCTAAATCACACTTTCGTGTTACCTCTGAACAAACCACAGAAGCTTGAAGAAATTCTCAGGCAGCAAATGTTCGGAGGGACACTTCTTCCCTTCAGAACAGGGACAGAAACATTACTTTAAACAAAAGCCTTCAAAACTGGGAGTTTTAGTCTCAGAAAGTTATGCTTCTGAGAGCTGGGCTATATACTAAACAGATTTATAACTTGCTATATACTTCTTCTGATTCCATCATTGCAGTGATCTTGAGTGGCTTACTGAAACATACATACATACATAACGAAATATCTTTCTAAAGGGAAAAACACGTGACAATTTGAAATCAAGCTTGAGAGGACGGCTACTGGTCTTCTCTGACTGGGTGATAAAATCCAACTTTCAACAAGAAAGGCCCTTCTCCAAAGATGCAAATAAATGCATTTCCAAGCATTGTTTTAAAATTGCTTTCTCATGCATTCAGATTTTCCTTTTCTTCTTCTTATTTTACAGTCAGCAGAGTACCATTAAAACTTGTTGTTCACCTATATATTCCTGCGATTAGATTGCTCTCATTACACAAGAACCGTCTTGAGAGAGAGAATTCCATGTTTTTTTCCCATCCTATGCGTATCTCCTTTTACTATCCTCCTCCCCCTCCTCCACAGGGCTCCCTTCGCTCCTGTGCTTCCATCCGTCTTGTCTAAAGGGGCCAAATGCAGACCCTGAAGAGATAACATGCCCTTTGAGGCAGCACCTGACCTGTTGCTAAAATAAAGCAACAACTGGAAGAAGTGTCAGCCAGCACATATTTAGATGATGGTTTCAGGAGGGCTTGAGGAAAGCCATGCGGTACCTTTGTGGCCAGACGACACTCCATCACCCTGATATTGAAGTGAGACGTCGCTGCCTTGTTCATCTCCACACAACTGTTCGCAATAACAAAAGCCGCGCCCTTTGGAAGCCTCACGTCGGTTGCCCGCAGAGGATTGAATTTGATTAGCTTGGCCTGCAGGGAGACAAAATCAAGAGGCATGAGTCATTTCAACTGTTAGCTAGCGCTACAGTTAAGATCCATAAATCAGCACAATTTACTACTGGGTATTTTATCTCTCTGTCTTAGATAAGCCCTTTTTGATTAGGGAGAGCAGGAGAAGCTATTTAACCCTTTCAAGAAGAAAATTAGTCATCAAACCAGAACGCCTCCCCTCCCCCCCCCGGGGGGTGGGTGGCATTTTAAATGTCCTCTGTCAATAGCGTGAAGAAGACTTTTGGGCAAACCAGGACGCCTGCCAAATGATTTTCTTCCATAGCTGCCTAAGTCAAGGATGCCAATATAAGCTCAGACGATGGGTCCATGTTGTCTTACTGCAGGGTAAAATGGCACGGGGCCAGCGGGAAACATGAAAATGCTACAAAGCTGCAAGAAAAGACAGATTTCATGTGTCTCAGTGTTGTTTACATGCCTCTCTCTCTCGCTCTCTCTGTGTTTGGTGTTTCCCTCAGCACTTATCCCCAAATCACATACAAGACTTCAAAACACAGTAAATCTCAATTCATGTTCAGACCAGGGCTTGCAAACAACCTTCTACAAGTAACAAAGTTTCCTATAATTATTTGGGGAGGAGGAAACACTGGTGTAACTAAGTGACATTTAAAAATAAAGGTCACAAGTAGTCACCATGTTGATACAAAAAGAAACATATTTACTTTCTGAGAAGTATTTTGGCAGGAATGTTCCCATCCCTCTCAGGCTATTCTTGTATCAATTCTAGGCAACATTTTATATTTTAGTAAATTGTATTTTTGTAAAGTGCAGTATCAAAACTGTCCAGTAGAGGGAAACAGATCTTTTTTTAAAAAAATCTTTTAATCTCTGTTTTTTTCTGGCTAGCTGACAGGGACAAGTCAATGCGTTAATAACACCTAGTACAGCAAAATGAAGATAATGAAGAGCCTAGTTTGGCTCCTGCAAAACAATGAGTAGCGCTAGGAATTAGTTTCGTGAAAGAGCACTCTTGCGTTCTAGCTCTGAGAGTACATACAGTTCCTTTCTCTGCAAGGAAGCAGATTGACTGGTCCATGCCTCCTCCTTCGGTGCCTATGTAGCGTTCACTCCTGCTGCAAAGTTCAGCTAATTCCACCTAAGGCAATGCAAAGCACACAGAGAAAGACACACAGAGAGAGATCACCCTTCACTCTTTGCAGCTGAACCAATGACAAGAGTATTTATAGAAGTTATTATAATTCCCCACACATTCCACCCTGATGGGCTAAACTTTCTGATGTCAGCCTAGAGATGGGGCAGGAGATATCAGTCAGTCTACACTTGGGCCTCTTCCTCCCAGTTGTCCTCTGAAGGAGGCCCACCTTTCTTGGCCTCCAGTGTGCTCAGGCTGAATGTTCTGGGTTTTTTTTTGGGGGGGGGGAGGTTTTTGGAACCTTTTGCATTTATAGGTTGCTTCTTCTTTTCTGCTTCTCTTCCATGGCTATGATGGGGCTGGAGTTATGAGTGTGGGGACCAGCCTCTTGACTTGGATTCCAACACCTTAAACTGCAAAGTTGAGCTGAACATGATTTGCTATAGACCTTCCCAGATGTTTTGGCATCAAGCCTTCCTCTCTTTTGATTTCAGAGAATCTCCCCCACCTCTCCTTTGTCTCCACCATCAACCAGAGAGGCCACTCTCAGCCTTGGTGTCCCCACCTGCAATATGGGGATAATAATATGATCCTCCCCTACAGAGGCAGTGTTATCTGGGCAGTCCTTAGTTGGCTATGCAACATAAAAGGATGACACAAACCACAAAAAAGACAGACACTCAAGGAGAGGCACAAAGAAAGATGATTATGACAAAATGCAGATATATATTGCTTGTATTTTTCTTTTCTGGAGGATACAGGGGCTGGTGTCAGGAAATCACTACAGAAATGATATTAACCAGCACACCATGGTGAGATAAAGCTAGTAACTCCTCCTGTTTTCATGGAGGAATGTGGACACACCTTCCCACTTGCTTCATTTCCAAAAAGGCACTGAAAACAGACCAGGCTGTTAAAAAGGTGAATTTAGAGCTCCTTAACCAGGGGAATGGCTTGCTAACGCAGGGTTCCTTATGCCACATAAACTCAACCCATAAACTCTGAGCTCAGAGGGCAGAACTATCAAAAAGGGATTAACAAATCTGGAAATGTGAACAGGAGACTAAACTTTCCAGGGGACTTCCAAGCAGAACAGGAGGGCCATTATTGGTGGTCCAGATTGCAAAAGCAAGAAGGGGATTTTAACTCCTCGACTCTTCTTTTCCTTCAGGGGAACGCCTGAAACACTCATGCTGAATCAGATAATTTGGATTGTCTTTTTTGCAAACAGGAAAAACTATCACATTATTCTGCCACCTTCAGCAGTGTCTCCTCAGACGTGGGAGTGGAGGTACTTATCAGGACAGTCCCACTAGCCAGCCAGTCCCCCTGCCCCCATGAGGAGAGACCCCCCCAAAAAATATTCACACCTGTATCAGTCTGTATCAACAAACAAGAAGGCATTTTATAAAGTTAATAGCTCTTGATTGCCCATTCAAGACCAAGCCACCCTCAGCTACTTTGCAACAGGACAGGGAGCACTTCTCCCAATAATTGCAGCTCTGTTCAGAGGGAAGGGTGGAGGCTGGGGCCAAGAGCAGCAGAGGGCATCGCAGTCCCTGTGGACTCAGAAAGCCTCCCCCCCCCCCGAACTTTGGACCCGGGAGCCCTGGCTTTATAGCATCCCTGCTTCTTATCCATTGTGAAAAGCCCTGCATTTATTAAGCCTAGAGAGGAAACTGAGTTAAAATGAGTGTCCATTTTATATTATAAAGCTGTATGAGATAGGTACCATGGTGACTGGTTTTTGAAAAAGGGAGACAAAAAGAATTTAAAAAGAAGAATGAGGAAGCACCACAAAAGGAAACCTAAGCTTGCGGGCTTTGTGGGTTTCCCTGTTTAGCTGGAATTTTGCCCTCTCCAGCTGAAAAAAAGCCACATTCCACATTGCCCTCGCCAGGAGGCCGCAGTGGACATGGACGTTGCTTCCTCCGAGGAGCGCCAGGTGGAAGAAAGCATCCCGCCGGTTTCCCAGAAGCTGCATTTAACAGCCGTGATGCTGAGAAACCACAGCCTCCCACCCTCTCAAACACAGCTCAACAGGACAAGCCCGCCTGTAAACGCACTTAGGAGGTGAGAAACCGCTTCACGGTCCCTGGGTGAAAAACACGTAACTGGGAAAAACCTTCGCACGCTAGGCTGCCTGTTCGAGAGGTCGACTGTGTCTTCCCCTGGCCGGGACTTTCTTAGCGCCGGTTTCTTGCCATGTGCCGCTCGCGACCACAATGGGATAAACATGACATCTGTGCTGTATTATCACTGTCAAACCATGACTTTACCTCTGATTATCCTTCCCAGAAAATATCTGTGGGATCTGACATATTTCCCTTTACCATCCAGTAACAGCCAATGTGTGGAGAGGTTTGGTTTTTTTTAAACTGCACTTCTGTCACCCAATTTACTTGGGATCCCATAAGGAAGGAGCCTATTATCACAACCAAATCACTGTGTATTAAAAAACACCCCATGAGAAGAACGTAGGAGGTCCCGAGGGCCCAAGACAACGTCCTACTGATTTGACCGCCAGTAGACCTGCTGGTCTCGAAAGTAAATTTACGAGGCCCTCTTTCTTGTTAGCCGGCTGGTGCTTCTCTGTTTTTATTAACTTCTCCTGTCACAACCCACTGGCTCAAGGACTCACATCTCACACCACCACCCTGGGGCCTTCTGGAGACCTCTCCTCCACCATGTCTGTTAGCCACTTCAGAGGTCTCGGCAGATGTTCCCTCCAAGATTAACTGCCTTGGAGATGAACGTAAACAACAACCTTGGTTTGTCTTTTATTGTACAAACAAAAATGACACAAACTGCCCCTTCAAACAGCTCGCTTTGAATGTCTCAGAATAGCCGGCCTTACACATGCCCACCGAGGATGGGCTTTCGGGCCATGCCCCCGTGGGCGACAAGGCTCAGCCTCGTGCTAATTAAAGCCCGTTTCCTAAATTACCCAGAGAGGGGTCAGGAGGCACATGACATGCGGCAGGCGCTGCTGCTAAGCCAGTCTGGCCGTACAAACAACTTGGGTGGGAAAACAGTCTCATGGAAAAGGTGTCAACCGTTCAGAGCCGTGCGGTAAAAGTGCGGCTAAATCTTCTTCTCGCTCTTCTCCTGTGCGAATTTTGACATCATCCTCATCATGACTATTTCAACTCTGGACATGGTGGCTCTAAGTTATGCTGCATCCCAAGGTTAAGCCAACCTGCCCCTAATCAAAGGTCACAAGACATTCCTGGCAGGGCCTTACCAGCAGCTGCTGAATGATCTGTGAGGGGAAAAGAGGCCTCAGGCATCTTCACAGTCGGCCATGGATGCCTTGTCCTTTTTAAAAACAGTTTTGTGACACTTATCAGACACATGGGCTTGAATTTTTTGCAGGCACAGACAGCTGCTTTAGATCCCTGAGTGCAACATCTGCAATATGTCATGCATCTGAATCGTCAGCGACATCCACAAAAGTTTGTGTCCCTTAAAACTGGCCAGGTTTACTCTTGGTTAGTCCTGCCGTAACAGAGTTAATAGAGCCACCTCCTTTGGAGACTTGCCGTTTCAGAAGACGGGGTGATTCATTTGCCTCAAAGGTGGGGAGAAGGACCTTGCGGGTTCCTTTCAGAGCACGGCTGCTCTCCCCTCGGGCCAACAACAACGCAGAAAAGTTTTCCCTCCACTACCATTTTCAAAACACTGCTCACCCCCCCACACACCCCTTTTGCAAATATAATCCGGATGTTCGTATCGGTTGGCGACTGGCAGCGTGTGAGTGAGAGTTGTTTATCGTCGGAGGGATATACAGGAGATTATGTTTGGCTTTTTCGTGTTTACACAGTGAAATAACATTTAATCAGAAAGTACCTAATTAGAACAACAAAGAAAAAACATTATCAAGAGCATACCGCAATCTGTAAGGATGCCCACTGCTGCACTACATTAACCTCCATCCCAAATGTGTACAACAAGTCTCAGGCAATAACACAAACACACACTCTCTCTCTTTTCAATAAATGCTTCCCTACAAAATCTATTTGACCCTCTGAACTTCCTTCCTAATAAATGAATCAAGACTGCCTTCAACCCATACCTGGACTCAGAGGTATCACTCAAAGCAGTGTAACCCCTTACTTTCTTCCGAAGCAGGGAAGAAACACCCAGTAACTGTCTTTCCAAATACCAGCCACAGTAAACACAGCCTGTTGTCTACCCTGTAATGTATATAAATGGGGAAACTTCTAGGAAAGATTATGGCCTTTGGTAACCATACAGGTTGTAAAGTGCTCTGGGGGTCCTTGGCTGAAAATAAACAAAGCTAAACTTAATACCTTGTTAATGGCCTTGGGATTTTCTCGATGATGGGAAGAGTGTAAGGGATCCTTTAATAAACACGACCACATAAAGATCAAATCCCTACAAGCAGAGAAGAGCCTTGGCTTCATGACCATCACAATCAACCCTCTTATACTTTTGCACTGATGAATCATCCTGGTCCTTGACCTGATTTTTGTATGGGTTAAACCTTTTATGTTTTGATAATATGACTTGTGGACAAACTTCCAGAGTCCTTTCCTTTTCTCAGGAGTAGAAACATTTAGTGTACAATGCCAGATCCCTGAAACTGGAAATCAAGAGATTTTTCAAGTACATTCAAAGCACAGACAGGTACATTTTAAGCTATTTTAAATTCAAAAATAAGACTGTAGAATTCAAGGAATTCCTTCTCTTTCCCTAGAAGAACTAAAAATCTCTCCCCTTCCTTGTCCGTTCTCAAGCACTCAACTGCCTTTTCATTAAGTAGAAAAGCCATGAAGAACTGATGCTTTTGAATTGTGGTGCTGGAGAGTCCCCTGGACTGCAAGGAGCACAAACCGATCCGTTCTGAAGGAAATCAACCCTGAGTGCTCACTGGAAGGACAGATCCTGAAGCTGAGGCTCCCGTACTTTGGCCATCTCATGAGAAGAGGAGACTCCTTGGGAAAAAACCTTGATATTAGGAAAGTGTGACGGCAAGAGGAGAAGGGGATGACCGAAGATGAGATGGCTGGACAGTGTCTGCGAAGCAACCAACATGAATTTGACCCAACTCCAGGAGGCAGTGGAAGATAGGAGGGCCTGGCGTGCTCTGGTCCATGGGGTCACGAAGAGTTGGACACGACTAAACAACTAAACAACGATTGCAACTAACCACATGGGGAAAAGCCCATTCGAATCAGTCTGGCTTAAAAAAAATAGAACACCCCCCCTCCCAGCAGCAGAGAAAAGAAACTTGTTTCAGGGTGTGAAAAAGGCTAGACTGATTTGAACCAGTCTTTCTGTCACACGGTCAGTAAAATAGAACTTGAGTTCATCTATTTTATAAGTGAAGCAAATCCTGTGAGATTTAACCATGGAGACACAACCTCACTTAAGTAAGAGAAGTGTTAACCATCACATGAATGGAACAAGTTACCTGGAACCGTGACGATCAGATCAGCGAGTCGCCCTGCCCTGCTCTAAGGAAGAGGAACTTGAGCTTCTCTTAAAAAGGAACGTTCTAAGCTCCACTTTAGTTCTGGATTTCCAAAAATACCTCAAAGCTGTTTTGTTTCTTTTTTTGAACCAGCTTCTATTGAATCAGCCCTAATTGCCTTTTTCTAAAAATATACAGTAGTTAAATGTTATACAAATTAAAGCCCTCGGTGCTTCCCTTTTATCTTGGACAAAACATGTGCCCCCTTCTCCACCAAGTTTACAGCAAAGACTAAACAAGTACTTCGCTCTGCTCCGCTTGAAGCAAAGAGTGAGGTAGGAGGGAGCCTGAGGGCCGCCTAACACAGCGGAGGGATGAGCGCTTGACGTTTAACATGAAGACTCTGTGGCCAAATGAGTCAAACCAAATTTAGCACTGCAATGAAGTCTCTTATCAATGATTCCATGGTCCACCTCCCAAAACAGAGAATTGGAAAGTCCATCATACTGTTGGAAGATTTCCACTGCATTTCCAGAAAAAGAAAAAGCACCACCCAGGGAAACAAGGATGTGTCCCATCGTTACGAATTAATCCAGAGTTGTGGAAATTTGTGATTTCGCACTGGGTTTCCCAGAACCCTCCAGGAGGCATCATCCGGGGTATTCTAGGAGTTGCAGTCCAAAATCAGAAATCGTCCCGCTTCTAGTCTAAAGAGTGTTCTCAAGCTTTCCCCAGCTTGTGGCTTAACAGGGAGCCCTGGATGGTTTCAGAGCAAAATCAGGTGGTTTATTGTTTGTGGCCACAAGAGCGAGTGTTCGCATAACACTTTTAGCCACAGTACAGGAGTCAGACCAAAACGCCCTACTAGGTACTGCCTGGCCATCCAACGAGTTCACTGCTGAAGTGAAAACTGAACCCCCTTACTCTTAGCTTATTCCCATCACCCCGGCCTTCCACGAGCTGGCTTGGACCTTCCCATGGCAGGCGGCATCTGGTGGGACAGGCTTTTCTCGACACCGCTCTGCCCACGCAATGGCTTCCAAAATTTTTTTTATTCTAGACCAACAGACACAACATGCTAGTTAGTACAGATTTCTAAACACATTAATCCGAGAAAGCAGAACTCTCTTCTGACTTCACTTGCTGACAGACAGACCAGAGCAGGTTGTTGTTTTCAAAATGAAGCAGAGGCAGGCGTTCTCACTACACAATTCTCCTTTGGTTTCTCCTTCCGCTTGCATTCACAGAAATACAATAATGATAATAAATAATTATTATTATAGGCCCTCAAGTCAATTCTGACTTATGGCAACCCTTCTCAGGGTTTTCCAGGTAGCAAATCCTCGGAAGGGGTTTACCAAACCCAGACAAAAAAACAAGAATGCTATGGAATCAGCGACTTCATGCAGCACAAGCCGAAAAGCAGGACCCCACGTTCGTCTCTTGAGCAAAACAACATCATCTTATGGTGCCTTCAAGGCCAAAAGACCGCATCTCGTCTCTCCGTTTCCCTTGTGCGATGCTCCACAAGAAAGTGGTGAGGCTCCCCCGGAGTTTGCGTTCACTGTGAGGTTGAACCTGAGTCCATCTGGTCATGCCTACACCTACGAAGCATTTGAATTTCGGCATGGCCCTCCCACGCATCCCATTCTCCCTCCCCCCCACCGCACCCCTTCCTTACTTTTGGCAGGGTCTTTCCGTTCGCCACCAGGGTCGCCAGACCTGCGCAGCAGACCAAGGCGCTGGAACTGGACAGGCCAGAGCTCGGAGGGATGGTGCCTTCGACAAGACAGTTCACGCCACGTGGGCTCTGGAGGTCAAAATGCTCCTAACGACGACGACAACAACAACAGGAGAACTACATCAGAGTTCCATAGATGCACCGGAGGGAAGAAGCATGGGCCGGTTCTCATGATTACTCTGTACCACACTGGCTCTCTAAAGCAGGAATGGATTAGTTACAATAAAGCCAAGGCCAAATTAAAATAGTGTGAAGACCTTTTAAATACACAATTAAAAAAAAAGAAAAAACACAATACCCACTTTTCAGCAGCCACTCAGTGGCCAATAAATGGAATGTAAATAACGCAAATTCTTTTGTTCATTTCCTGGGAGCAGCCACTAAGAAGGCCCTTTCTTGTAGCCTCCCCAGATTTTTTATTATTATTATT